CTTACCTTCCAAAGGGAATAACCAAGAACGGCCACGATGACGGAAGCGACGAACAACAGGATCGGAGTAGTGGCGGTAAGGACGTCCGCGGTTAGGTCGGGGCCATCGGGACCTCCGGGACCCTTAGGTGGATGTTCACTTATAACTGTCCTATGTGGATCAATGGGCGCAGCGTTTGGTCCATATGCTCCCCCGATACCATCTGCATGTGGTTTAAAGTCTAAATCTAAACCAGGGTCCTTGTTCGCATTTGTTCCATTGGAACCAGTGCTTTGTACATTGTTGCGTCCGGGGGAAGGAACAGGACTAGGGGGTTGGTGACCAGTAGAACCAGTACCGGAGGAACGTGGATTCGTAGTGCCCGTGGAGCCAGTACCAGTAGAACCTGGACCCGTAGGACCAGCTGCACCAGAGGAACCTGTGTCATGTGTGTGACCATGTTGATCAGGATCAGTGGAGGTAACTGGTGCCTTGGGGGGCTGGGACTCTTGAGATGGTTGTGTCGTGGGAGAGGATGCGGCAGTATGCCCATCATGGGCTTTATCATCCTTAGCAGTATTGTCGGCCAGCGGTGGATCAGGCTTACTGCCACCGGAGGCTGAGGAACCGTTACCAGTAGTTACTGGTGCCGGATCTACAACTTTTGTTGTGTCAGTATGGGTATTATCAACACCGGTGGTGTTCGTTTTGGAAGAATCATCCTGGCCATTAGAGGCCTGGCCTTCAGGTATCTCTAAATTCTGTGTCGGTTCAGTGCCTGCTCCTGGAGTTCCTGCAAGGGCTCCCAACGGGAACAAGTGGAAATATGAGGACTCTGAAGTGTGTACGTTGCATGGCTACGACAATGGTCATCTTTGTGCATGGTCTGTCGGCCACACGGTGCGTCGTTTAAGGTTGACCCGTGTATTGGGACGGCGTGGCAGGTGCCACCACGGGAAAAGACTCTCTCTCTCCCACGCAGCACACAACACACACACACAGTGTGTGTCGATGTCTCTACCTGTCGACGTCTGTCTGCGTCTCTACGACACTCTACATCCCGCGGCGGCTTACTCTTCCCCGCGTCGCTCTGCCCCTAATTCTCATTCGGCGTTTGGTTTCTCTCTCTCCGTGGTGTCTCTCCCGCTGTCGCCGGAAAAGTTGTTTCCTTTTCTGTCTTTTTTTTTGTGTGTTGCATGTTGTGTCCTGTTTTCCTTCTCCCAGAAGACTCAGTCACAGGGGTCCGTCGGGACAGGGACCGCTGCGTGCACAGTGCTATCACGTGAATCTGTACGTGCCGTACCTGAGCATGCGGTAGATGAAGGAGTACTGAGGACCTGAATTTGAACACGTCCACCGCCTTCGGTTGCATGACCGACTGTCTGTTGGACAGGGGTGCAGGGTACAGTTGTGTTCTTACCTGCAGGTTTCTTTGTTTCGTCCGGTGAGGACGGGCATGCGGATCCCGATTCGGAGGACGATGTGGATGGGGGTGGTGGTGGAGGTGGGGGTTGATGTCCAGGTCCTGGCCCTTGACCCGGTCCTTGCCCGCCTGCACCTGTCCCTGATGGTCCACCGTCTTGTGGAGGAGGTTGTGGGTTCTTGCCTGCGGCAAATGATGCAAGGAAGAAAAAAGAGTAGATGATAACAACAAAGCACACAAGTGGTACAGAAAGAAGGGGCAGAACGGTTCGATCAGGTAGCGGCAGGGTAGGGTCGGATTGTAGCAGTTGCACATATGTTGTCGCCGTCCCGCCTGCCTCGTGCCGCTGCATCCCTCGTCGTCTTCGCTCGATGCGTAGCCTTCGCTCGATGCGTAGCCTTCGCTCCATCCGCACGCACCATTGTCACACCACTGTGACGCCGTCCCGCACTCACACACACACCTCTTCTACACTCATCCTCGTCGCCACTACGGCTGCACACTCATCGCTGCTACGGCTGCCGTCGTGGTGGCCGCTGTGCTCGGCAATGGTGCGTTGAGCGAAGTGGGGCAGCTGCCGTCGTGGTCGCCGCTGAACGTCAACGAAGTCGTTTGCTGTGCTGTTGCGCCGCGTGTTCGTGTTGTTGTGGCGCCATCTCAGCGGTGCGCAGTCGTACGGTCAGTAGGCGGCCGTTGGCATGCGTGCGGGCCGTATGCGTACGTATTCGTAATCGGCCGTATAGTCGTATTCGTGCTTTCTCCCCGTCGGTCCTTACCTGGCGGTCCCTGTGGTGGTGTGGTTTCCGGCGTTGCTGTAGTTCCTGGGTTTGCAGCGACGGAGTCCTTGCCGGGTGGTGGCGCCGGTTGAGTCTTCGCCGGATCTATGAATAATGATAAAGGAGTGATCAGAGTATGTAGGAAAGTGCAACCTCAAAATTTCTGTCGACATGCGCTCATTCTTGCATGTTCGTATTCGTGCTCCTTCCCTCTCTTAAGTCTCTGCTTATGCGCTTTTTCCGCTCTACACCCACATTCCTAGTACATTTCCTTTGTCTTTCCTCCTACCTGGACTGAGCAAGCTATTCCGGTCCTGTACTTGATCTTTCGCTGTATTCCTTCTTCCCTCTTTCTGTTCCTTTACGTCTTGCTGCACCTTCTTCATTTTTTCCATTATTTTATCTTTGATTTCTTTTTCGTCAAGTACACCTTTCCCCTGTGTGTGTTGTGTATTTCCCTGTGTACAGTTTGCTTTTTTCTCTAAATCTTTTATCTTCTGCCACATGGTTGCATTCCCGTTCAACCAGCTTTTGACTGTAGCGTTTACATTCTTCTGCCCAATCTTCGTATGATGATGCCCCTCCCATAAGCATACATTCACGGGCATAGTACCCGCGAAGCCCTGCTGAAGCCGAGCAGCCTCCTCCAGCGCATTCATTATTTTTAATGCATACTCAACACCTGTCTTATCCCCACAGTTTATTTCGATTAAGTAATACATATATATACTGACTATGGCACACTTGACAAATTGCCGCAGTGGATTGTCCGGCCCCCAGTCATGGCCCGCATGCATGGTGCTACCCGTCCAGCCATTCTTGAAATATAGTGCCTCCATCATTAATGTGCACGTTGTTTTCTCCCTCTGTCTTCTGGATCCCCTGTGAATCACTTTACCGTCGTATGAAACATCATTACACGATGTAGCCCAAGTGTGCGTATGGCCCTCCTTCTCAAATGTTTCTAAGAACTTTACAAATGCCTCAAGTACGGTCATAATGTCATCCCATAACTTCGTCCAAGAAGTAGAAAACAAAAGGAAAGGGCCACCTGTACTATATGCATATACATGCGCGTCATGAACGTTGCAGTGTGTTAGAGGTTCCGTTGTCTGCACTGTATACTCATAGGTCCATACAATATATCCTGCCTTCTATTCCATCCTGTACCCTTAAATTTTCCTTACATCTAACTGATCCTGTTGCCCTATTCCTCTCCTGTCTGCCCAATGTCGAATTAGATTAGCCCAATGTACGTCGTTTGCCATATTGTTGCTGCTATATACAGTTATATGAATATGATTTGATTCACATTTGCGCGGCACTGCTGTTGCTTTCCAAAAATTAGCATCACGATGTTGTAGCTCGTGCTTTTCCTGTTCTCCGTATGCTCCTCCTTTTCTTATTATAATTATTTTCCTCGTGTAAGGACAAATTACGTCTCCGCGCACAACAACTGTATCAGCCGTGACCCTATAAATTCTACCTGCAAGTTATGTATACGTATATTGAGCACATAAGCACAAAAGAGGACAAAAAACGAATACACAGAACAACAAAGAAAACAAAAAGTGAAACAGACGCAGCCAGAAAAAACCCCCCAAAACAAAAAAAACACTCTATTCCCCCTCTTAAAAAAAAAGTACACGACTACTACTACTACCACTACTACTACCGCGTGCATAACAACAACAATAAAAAACAAAATATACACACGTCGCGTTCTCCGTTACGCCTCTCCGTCAACGCCTCTCCCGTCCACGCCTCTCCCGTCACCGCGTCTCCGTCACGCTTCTCCGTCAACGCTTCTCCTGTCAACGCCTCTCCCGTCAACGCTTCTAGAAGTCGTGATAAATACACAACCACTACTTGTTCTTCTTCCGCCGCACACCTTCCGCCTTCCGCCGTCTTCGTTCCTGTTCTGTAGAACAAAGGGAACAAAAAAAGTACACTACTACTACCTACACACACAACGCGACATGAATACACCACCCCCTTTCTACACCGGTCTCCACTAAACGCATTCACACACTGTCTCTCTGTGCGTACACCTAAAACGAACGATAACATAAATTTCTGTCGTCTTTGCCGCCCGTGTTGCTCCCCCACATAATATGTGTGTTTCTTCTCCTCCACGACCACTCTGTACTCCCTCTCTGGAACCCTCACTCGAATCCCTTCACTCGAACCGCTTCACTCGGAGACAATGATTCCCTTTTTACACTCGGCTACTTCGTAGAATCGTTGTTACACTTGGCCGCGTTTGCTCGGAGAGACAATCCTCCTCCTTCTTACTCGGCAAAATGCGGTGTACGAAGACGCGGCAACGACGGCAGAAGAATTGACGTTGTTGTTATACTGCGGTTTTTAGGTGTACGCACACAGAGACAGTGTGTGAAGGCGTGTAGTGGAGAAGAAGGCGGGGGGTGTATATTCATGGCGCGTTGTGTGCGTAGGTAGTGTAGTAGTACTTGTTTTTTCTATTTTTGTCTGTCGTTTTTATTTGTATTTTCTTCCCTGTGCCCTATATTTGCAATTCCTATGCACATTTTGTGTTTTTGTACATTCTTCCTTCTATCATTAGGTGCTTTATTTTTTCTGTTTTTATGGAATATTTGATTGCTACCTGCAGAGAGCAGTGAAGAATAAAAGCAGCATTAGGGACTAAACTTGCACGCAAGAGCGAATTCATGTAATATAACAAGAATACGAATAATAGTAATGTATGAGTATTTCCAACGGTACCGTATATTTAAGTGAATAGTAGTAATATGGGAACGGTAGATTTGGCGCATGCATTGGCGGATTGGTTAATCGCCGCGGGAATTTACGATCAGAACCAGTATGAGGTAGGAACATACAGGAATAGAAGAGCAACACGGGCAGTTCAGTGTTAGGGTTTTATTGGTATAAGAGACAATGCAGCGCATCGTGGCATATGGCATTCAAGTACACATGCGCATGTATATATTTCCTGCGTTTCTCTTACATTGTAGGAAATGGTGTGGAACAAGACTAAAGAGATAATGGAGGAATTTGTGCAATACATGGAAACTGCGGAAATAATATCGTATGCAACGCCCTGTGGTAACGCAGGATGGCAGCTCCCCAGTGATCCTACCGATCAAGCCTATGTAGGACAAACGGTGGGGGATAAGATTGTATGCGTGCTTATGGTAGGGGCATTACTGTTCATGAATGGGTGGCATACTGCAAAACACAGTAGACCACAGGAGGATGCAACCAACGCAAGCATACGACAGCACTTGCTATGTGCAATAGTACATATGTTTAGCGCAGTATTAAACGAATCCGTGTGCAAAAGTCAGTGGGGAACTTTTTATGCATGGAAAATAATGGACGAATTAGCGGGGGAGGGCGGTTTTTTGGGAGGTTCAATAAAGAAGGGAACATGTGGTAGAAACATATTTTCGGATGTACAAATAAGGGAACTTGACTTAAATACAGACGTCAAAGCATGGTTAGGACAAAATAGCAAACTAAAAGAGGCAATACAGAAAATAAAAGGAAATACACTGTGCACGGATAGGTGGGGGACGGGATGGAGCCTAGACGAAATCCTGGGGCATGGGAATATAGATGATTCGCCACGGTCGCCGATTGCTCAGATAATGCACGGACTGCAACACCCAATGACGGAAGTATTTAAAGGGCTTAAGCAACAGGTAGAGGAACGCATAGAGCAAAGGCAACAGGCGAAGACGGGGAAGTCCGGTAAGGCATGGCAGGTTCGGGTACACTGAGACAGCTTCGAACGCAACAGGACGGATAAGTACACACACGACAACTACAGACAGTGTCGAAGTAAAAGGGAAAGAGCAATGCGAAACAACATGCAGTTATTTGAACAACGTTCATTTCTGTATCCTTGCAAGAACACAAAAAGTACATACGCACATTTCTAATTCCTATTTGTTCCTTTATTGCAGCGACGGATGGCAAAAACGGACAGGCCGCCAAGAATCCGGCAACAGCATCACCACAGGCACCTCCAGGTAAGGACCGGTGGGAGCAAGCACTAATACGGCCCAACACGTATTATACGGCCGCCACCGACACGAGTGCGCATATGGATGCCGCCAACAACAACACGCACACGAACACGAATACCGACCGTACTGCCGAATGTGGATGCCGCCACAACAACACGCACACGCGGGGGGCACAGCACAACAGCGGTGCTCAACAGCGCTTCTCTTGAGTGCCCCACTTTGGTTGAGCGATGAGCGGCGGCCACCACGACAGCGGTCGCGGACGATGGACGAGATGACGGCGACAAATATAAGCGTACTGCTACCATCTAGCCCCAGTTCACCGAGTACACAGTCCACCGAGCCAACCCGGCCGCTACCGGACCGCACCGTCGCGGCCCCTTCTTTCTGTACCACTTGTGTCGCTTCTTTATCGTCTGTTCATCTTCCTTCCATCCCTCATTACAGGAACGAAACCGGCAGAAGCAGGAGGAGGCGACAAGAACGGCCACAAGCCGTCGTCAACATCACCATCAGGAGCAGCAGGAACATCACCAGGATCCGGAAGGTCAGATCCCGCACCCGCACCACAACCCCCACCTGCGGCACCAGAACCTCCCTCAGGGAAATCAGGCGGTGCAGAGGCAGGAGCAACGGAAGACCACGGTGCTACGGGCGTTGCAGGAGCACCGGCATCAACGGACACATCAGGTGAGGACCAGTGCAACGCGAGTCTTGGGCAGGGCCCACAGAGCTCGGGTTCAATAGTTATAAGTACCGGATGTACACCGGATGCAGATTTAGGAGGAGGACCCCACGTCCCCGATGCTAGAGCTAATGGTAATGTACACTCGGCTGCACATGGACAGACACTTTGAATAGAAATAAAAACAAAAAACACAAAAAAACAACAACACGAACAACGTTTCCGGAGACACAGAGCGCCAGAAAACACGGAGTGAGGAAGAGAGCAACCCAACGTCGAATGAGACTCACGGGGATGTTTGAGCGCCGCAGCGATGGGTCGGCCGCTGGATGTAGACGTCGACGTAGACAGACACACACTGTGTCTGTGTGTGTTGTGCTGTGTGTGTTGTGCGCGGGTGCGAGAGAGAGAGAGTCTTTTCCCGGGTGGCACCTTACCCCCGTCCGTGTCCTGCCTCCACGCCTGCCCGCCGTCCCCGTGGCACCAATGGTGCCGACTGAGCATGGGCAACCATCTATCTGAAACTACAGTTTCATCATTTTCCTTTCCTTACTGTTGCCTTTCCTAAATGTTTACTTAGGAACTGACGACACGAAAACTGGGCCTACACAGGTAGCTGCAGGTCCCCAGGAACTTCCAGAAGGAAAGAAGGATGACCCGAAGGATGGGACATCAGAGTCCGCAGAACCAGCAGCTGGATCAGAACCACAACCAGGACCCTTACCTTCATCAACACCAGATACGGGACACCAACCTGGATCGGACGGTGTCCCCCAGGGACCCACATCTTCTGGGGAACAGAAACCGGACACGCAGGATGGCCATGACCATAGTGAGCCCGGGGTCAACGTACAGAACGATAGGGATCCTTTCGGTGGTGCCGATTTCTGCAAGGTCGATGCCAAGAGGGCAGGAGTAGGTGGAAAGTGTACTACACTAGACGATGGGGCAGAAGTGGTTCATGTACCGGATGAAATCCCTCTATGGGGTATAGGAGCATTAAGCCCTAAAAAGTATGAAGATTTCACACTGGACCCTAATCCACGTGAACTACACATAAAGGACGCAGCAGGGGGGTTCGTGCCACCGGTTCCAGCAGATGGAAAAGTCAGTTCATCGGGTGACACATCACGTGACTATGCTGTCCCCGACCTAACCGACACCGTCCTCACCGCCACTACTCCCGTACTCTTCTTCCTGTCCGCCCTCATCGTCGCCCTTCTTGGTTATTCCCTTTGGCAGGTAAGTGTATGTGGCAACCAGGGCATGCCGCATGTGCAGGATGTTTATACCTCAGAACATCCCTACGGGCTCCAACACATGATCGTTCTAACCAATATGCCCCTACATCCGCGTGCATTCCTTTTATCCTACCGTCCTCACCCTCCTATTTACCCCCCTTTTTTTGCTTAGTACTTTGCGCACCTCGGACAAAAACGACGACGAACGTTTCGCACCGTTCGTGACGTGCCGTCACCGCCACTCGACAAAGAAATATTGGACCATCTACAACGCGGCGAACTGCCGCCACCCGATTACGGGTACACCATGATTAGGGATACGCAGCCCGGCAGATTGCCCGCCGCCCGACGACGACGTCATCCGCGCGTGCATACACGCACGATCATCGACCTACATCTAGAAGTGCTGCACGAATGTGACGCAACCGCGTGGGAAAACGTCAAAGACGACTATTTGCAGATACTCGTGGAGGAGTTTGCACAGGAGTGTGCGCACGATATGATACGGGACGCCAACAGCAATAACAATATCTTGGGTCTTTTGACCTCAGACTATGGTTCACCATGGACCAATGTTTCAGCCAACGCAGACCGACCGCGTCATTACCACGCCCGTCATCCCACCTGCGACGCCACCGTTCCAGCCACACATACACCCACAAACGCCGTAGTCACGGACATACCCACATGTGACACCGTCACGCATACCACCACGAGTGAGGATCCTAAGCCCGAAATCACAGACATACCCACATGTAAAGCAGTCACAGACACACCCACATGTGATCATCCTCAGCCCGACATCACAGACA